TCTGTGGGCCTCTCGTCTGCGCTTGGCTCTGGAGACTCCGTTCTGCTAGTCTTCTGGCGGTTTTCTGGGTTATTTAGGCAGGTGTAGGTGGAATCTAAGTGACCGGTGAGCCCAGCATCCTCCTACGCCGCCATCTTCCTTCTACAAACATTTCGTTTTATGAATTAGTTATTACGTGTATGTTTGATCATCAACTAAACTGAAAGAGAAGATTGATTGATACCTTGGAAAAACTAAAAAAAAAGATATTTATTCAATAAATAAGTATAGAAATAAATGGTACAGGAAGTGAGTACTAGAGTTCAGAGGAGAGAGATTCTGTAGACTGAAACAATTGCAAGTTGGGCCTCAAGGTGAGTCCTGAAGGTAAGGTTTGGAGAGAAAAAGCAGACAGGGAAAGAGTATTCCTTTATGCAGCCATGGTACAAGCAAAAGTTAAAAGAAGTGACATAATTTTGGAAGTCTTGATCAGTTGGAGTGAAAGACTTGACCTGCCAGGGAGAAGTGAGGTATGATTAGGAAGACATTTTTGATCCAGTTCATGAAGTACCTGAAGAATGTATTGGGGCCCTTTTTAAAGACAGTGGGGGAAGATTGGTCTGCCAACATATTGGATTAAATGGAATGGTGTAGAATCTGCCAAAAGCCGCCAGGCTAATGGCAGAAAGGGCCTTGGAAGGCTGGGCTATGGAGAAGTGGTAGAGTAGGAAAAAGATAAAACGTCCAGACAATGTTCTGGGGGGGGGGGGGGGGGGGGGGGGAGGTTGCTTAATAAATTAGCAACACACATCTTAATCTGAAACCCCTCCAACATTTATCCCCACTCTGTAACTGTATATCTCATATCTAAAGGAAATCTCCTTTCATGCCCTCGTACTCCCGCCATCATGCCCATGTTTGGGAATCCTTCCTAATCTTCAGTGTTTCCTATTCTATGAATTTTTTTTTGTCCTGTGCAAACTTTATATAACCTTTGGCTCCTGTGGATCTCTGTAGCCTTTTGTATTTCTTTCATACATTTATATCTTGCTTTATGTTATCATGTGAAATGTTATCCCCCAATTTCATTTTTAGACGGTTTGAGCTCAGGAATTTACTGTATCTTATCATAATTCCTGAAGCACTTAACAAAGGTTTTATATGTAATTTGTGCTTTAGAAAATGCTTTTCAGAACTGAGCAAATAGTTGCCAGAAGTTAACTAAATTAGACTTATAAGAAGTCATAGTTAAGATATATTCTTAAAGTATATGTGTTCATATTTACATGTAGTACAACTACATAAAGTTAATCATTGATTATAATGTACTTTAGTAGCACAATTACATAGTGCCCATGTAATTGGCTTAGACCAGGTGTCCAGCACACTGTCTCTTGAAGGACCAGGAAGTCAGTCTCCATGGCTTCACAGGCTACGTGGTCTCTATCATACACTCTTCGTCTCTTTCACAACAGGCTGTGACCAGATTTGGCCTGCTGGTTGTAGTTGGGCACCTGTGATCTAGACAGTAAATCCACTTATTCCTATATGATTTTTTTTTTTTTTACCTCTGTTAGCATAAAAGTTTTTTGTTTTTATCATGTTTTATTTGTTCCTTAGTGAACTGTCACTGACAGTCCCATTCCATAAAACAATTAGTACCACAAAAACAGACAACCAGGTATGTGCCTCTGCTGTGATATAATTGGAAATACATGGCACCTCTTTTGAGGTACTTCTTAAAAGTAAAGCTTTTATCTTTGTTATACACTAAGTATATAACTTTATTTTAAGAGATGTATACTGAAATATTTACAGTTCAATGGATTTCTTGTGAAGAACCAAAAAAACAAAAACAATCACCCAAAAACCAGTGAGGGCATAAGGAATAGGTAAGGGTATAGGTTAGTGGCTGGCAAACTTTTTCTTTCAAGGGCCACACAGTAAATATTTTAGGCTTTACAGGTCATATCATATCTCTATCGCCATTAGTAAATTTGTCATTGTTGTACTAAAGCAAATGTGAACAATATGTAAATAAATGAACTTGACTGTGTTCTAATAAAACTCTTTACAAAACAGGCACCAGCCAGATTTTAGCTTGCAGACCAGATTCCTGTTCTGGGTGAAATAAGATTGGCCATGTATTGGTAATTGTTAAAGCTGAGAGAGGGATGCCGGGAGTTTATTACACTGTTGGCACTGCTGTCGTGTATATTTGAAATGTTCCATAATAAAAGGTTAAGACAAGTTTCTTTTAAATATGGGTTAATACAAAGAAAAGACTTGTCATTTCTTTATTTAAAGTCATTCATAAAAATTGTTCAACCTCTTCTGAAATTATTTCCTTTACTAGCTTCACTACAGTCTTCAGTGCAACAATCTGAGGAAAAGAATACCAAAATCAAGCAGTTGCTTGTGAAAACCAAAAAAGAACTGGCAGATTCAAAGCAAGCAGTATGTTAATTTCCCATTTTCATATTTCAGTTTATGTATCTATAAATCCCTTCTTTTCTAAATATAACCAGGATTCTTATTCTTTAGGAAACTGATCACTTAATACTTCAAGCATCTTTAAAGGGTGAGCTGGAGGCAAGCCAGCAGCAAGTAGAAGTCTATAAAGTAAGATTCTTTTTACTTCTGAGGATTTACAAAAGAAGTAAGGTACCATGTAGGGATTTTTCTAAATATCCTTATGTACATATATTTATATACCCACACACATTCCCCCCCCCAATATCCTTCCTCAACATTTTGAAAAAGTAGAAGCAGTAAGCCAGGTATGGCATATAACTGGAGTATCCCATTTAGCTTAAGCTAGATTCTCTTCATGTATTTGAAAATCCTTAATGCACTAAGAATAGTACAACACAAAATCAACACGGCCCCAGAGCTGTATCTGAGCTTTCTAAATGATAGTGCAGTCACAAGAATCAGTTTATAAAATGGTTTCATATGTTTATATTGTATACATATGTATGTATGTTTCCATTATTATATATATTTTATAACTGTTATATTTATATAATATCTTGATATATTCAATTAAACATTGAACTATAATAAGTAGTCTGGAATTTATGATTTTTCATGATTGATTTTAAGGAAAACTGAATTTATTGGGGAAATGTTCTATTATATTGCCTTTACTCTTTTAATAATAATAGATATTTTAAATTCTATTTAGTTTTATACCTTATACATACTCATGATCCAAAACTCAAGTTTATTTAAAGGAACATCTTTAATTAGTGAAGATCCAATTTGCTAGAGCTTAATTGAAAGGTTTTGTCCCAGATTCAGCTGGCTGACATAACCTCTGAGAAACATAAAGTTCATGAACAGCTGAAGACCTCTGCAGACCAGCACCAGCGCACATTGAGCGCATACCAGCAAAAAGTGACAGCCCTTCAAGAAGAATGCCACGCTGCCAAGGTACATGCTTCACGTGGACACAGACGACAGGTGTTGTTATCACCTAGCAAGCAGTTCACGGGAGGGCTGTGGTCTGGCCTTTTAGTGTTTGCTGTTATTTAAGAGCACTTATTAGAAGAAAACTCGGTGCAGCTCATCTGACTCTAACCCCAACCCCATCCCAATCCTATCATGTGCATAACCTTTTTTTTTTTGTTGTTAAAAGGGAAGACATAGGTACATGTTTCCATTTTAACCTTGTTTTGCAATTTCTGTATGTAAGAGTTATTTTCTTTAAATTTTATAATCTAAAAAGCATATAGTTGTTTCTGAGGGCCAAATGATTATAAAATAACATTCTACTAGAATGGCTCTGAGGGCCTGCTTTCTTCAGCATACAAAAGAAACTCAATACAGTAGCTTTGTGAGAGGTGCAGCTATCATCTAAGCAATTTGGCAGAAGGGTAATGGGAGATCACCTTGGGAAAGTGAAAGACCTAGAATTTCACTTTTCCCTCTCTCCTTAGAAATCTGAAGTTCAAGTAGTTTAATTTCTTTGAATTTTTCTTGTATTTATGAAAAGAGGGACTATCTTAAGTAAAAATCTTTCCAAGTTTCCAAAGGCAAAAATAGTGCCATTACAAAATGTATGGGTACTCAATGAATCTACCAGGGAGGAAAACATGTAGAAACATCTCCTGTCAAACAAAATTATATCATTCAAAGAATTAAAAAGTGTAAGGCCAACAGAAACACACTTTTTAGGGTAAGTTAATCAAAGGGATAAAGAGTGTCAGCCATTTTATTCATTTTCTAAAACAGGTTTTCATTGTAAGTCATTAATCTGAAAGAAAATAAGAGGATTATGTTACAATAGAAAACACAATAGAAAAATTATTCTCTCTCTTTTAAATGTCATAGGCAGAACAAGCTACTATAGCCTCTGAATTTGAGAACTACAAAGTCCGCGTTCACAATGTTCTAAAACAACAGAAAAATAAATCTGTGTCTCAGACTGAAACCGAGGGAGCTAAACAAGAAAGGTAAAGTCAAAATTAAAAGAAACATGCAGCTTTCCCTTCCTCCCCCTGAGATAGGTCCTCCACCAAGTATGTTGAAAATCCGACTGATTTCATTTGACTGTGGAATTTTACATGCAACGAGAGCAGGGTGTCTTGGCTTCACTATCTCCAGGCAGCAGCAGGGAAATGTCACTACCAAGGGCACTGTTACAAACTCAGAAACTGTGTAATACGGGCAGTGAAATGAGGAGATAGTCTTTGAAGTATAGACTAAATAGTGCCATCTTGTTGTAGTAGGATCTGGTCATAGTAAAAATACAGACATTGAAGTTACGTTATGATTAGTTTTTCCCATTTTGAAAATTTAGAAATAGAAGGGAAAAAAATGCTTCCTTGATATACCCACCATTAATTAAGCTAAATAGGGGTGCCTGAGTGGCTAAGTCAGTTGGATGTCCAACTCTGGCTTAGGTCATGATCTCATGGTACATGAGTTCAAGCCCTGTGTTAGGCTCTGTGCTGACAGCTCAGGACCTGGAGCCTGCTTCAGATT